CGTGTGGAAATAACAGAACACTGATTCTCAAAGACATTTGGTTACTCAAAGCCACAAATCCTTACAGACTCAGGCTTTGTTAGTTCTGGCTTTCACAAAATTATTCATGCTTTCTTGTGGCATTTTATCCGTTACACGTGCTGTTCATGGTGGTGCAGCATTAAATATCATGTCTTGCAAATGTAACACTGACTTGGGAAAGAGTTGTTGTGGGGGGAACCTGCCCTACTTAAATGACTGTCGTGTTTGCCCAGGGTTTTTGAGCAGTGTTCTTCTAGCTGATCCTAGTTCTCAGCGTTAAATATGATAGATGTTAATGTAAGTGATTCAATTGTAGTTTATAGCTGGTGTGTTTAACGTGCTCTCCTGGCAGCTCAGCAGCCAAAGCAACAGCAAAGTCTGGGTTCTCTGCTTTTATATGTGCAGAGTGCTACCCTTCTAATTAATGATCCGTGGCAGTATGCAGTGGGTTTAATATCAGCCCTTTGGCCTCTGAGATGGTCAGGAACTGGCAGAGATGTACAGAAAGCTCAGTCATTACAGGATTTAGTTTCCCTTATTGTACATCAGCTTCCAAATTTCAATCCTTTGCTTCTTAGAAGCAATCTCCAGCTAAAGCTCATGGAATATACTGATTTTGTTTGGTTGGGTTTTTTGGGGGTTTTTTGTTTGGTTTTTTTTGGGGGGAGGGGGCAAATATTGAAGTGAGTGTTGTGTATTAGAGCTAGTTCTGGACCTATGGGGCTTGTTCCCTTCTGGTGGCAGTGAGTAGGACAGGATGTCTCTGTGCTGGCCAGTGGCAAGGGAGGATTTTAGCATCACTGGGGTACCATGCCACATATTCATCACCACTCCAAGGCTGCAGCACACCCCATTTGGTGTGATGGAAACTGTTGTGCAGGGAGAAAATGCCACTCCTAGTCAAGTCAGGTCTTGTCTTGGGGATGTGTTTCAGCTCCTTTAGAGGTGGACATTTCTGTGTTTCTGAATGCTGTAGCAATCAGGAGAAAATGAGAATTTCCCCATAAATGCTCTTGTGCAATGGCTCCACAGCAATCAAAGGGACCAGTCTGTGC